TGAGAGCTAGGGATATGTACCTCTCCTACACGCAGCCTAAGATCCAATTCCTTCCACTATAAAGAGAAGAAAAAAGGAAGCAACAACAATGTATCCCCACTGAGAATCACATTTGGAGGATTCTTTGCCTTCACATAATGATGAAATCAAGGACAGTTTCTTCACATGGAGGCCTTGGAAAAAGGCTTCTCCCTCATCCTGGCCGAATGAGGAAGAGTCGAATGGGCTGGCCTGCAGTTGCCCAACTCCCTGGGCCTCTGGGGAGGAAGAAAGAGGAAGCTAGCCATTGTGTCCAGACCAAGTGAGAAACTTAGTGATTTCCATGCCTGGTGTTTTCAATTCTGGGCCTTTGAAGGTCACTTTAATTTTTTAATTGAAAAAAATAAATAAGCATTACAGTTGATGACCTGCCAGTCCTCCCCCGCCCCCCACCCCACCACCACACACACACACACACACACACACAACTATCACCAAAGGCCAGAGTCCCACCATCTTGTAAACAAGCAAGCAGAACTATCTTGAGAGGACCAGGAGTCAGTGAGATAGAGGTTTCCTCACATGGATCCCTGCTCCCCTGAGGATGCACACCCCATCACCAGCGAAGCCTCAGACTGGACTTCTTTGCACTGCAACCCAGAGCCCAGCCCTGGGGCTGGGACAGTCCTGACACTTCAGCAGTAGACATTGGCACATAGCTTTGACTACTGAATAAGCACGCGGAGGTAACCATGCTGCCCAACAGCATCTAGAGCTCTTGTCCAGAGTGCAAGCCCTGGACACCGTCCCCAGCACTGCAGCGTGAGTGTCCGTATGCACACACACACACACACACACACACACACACACACACACACACACACACACACACATGCCTCCGGAAGGGTAGACGCACAGGCTAGCAACATGACATGCGAGGGAGAAAGGAAAGAGTCTGGTGCAGACGTGGCTGGGAATCCCAGCCAGCAGAGAGCTGAGTGAGATCTCCTGGCAACAGCAAGGCAAGGCGACACTGGCAAAACACCCGAGGATCACCGGAGCCCAGCCGCAGCCGCTGGCTTCCGAATCTCACCGTCCTTCCGTCCCCAGGCAGGGAAGGGTGCCTGTGAAAGAACCAGAGCAGGGGAAGGGCTCTCTTCTGGCTTGTCCAATACGGACGGAGACAAACCGGAGTCAGAGGCTCCAGGTCTGCGGGGCTTTGAGGCCGGGGCACGTCGGTTACTTAGTGGATGTTTGCCTAATAAATAAGAAATAAGCTGTGCAGGTCTTTGGATGTAATCCAGTGACTCCCACGCCCCCAAAGAAGGGGAACACTGACTTCCACTCACTCACTCTTTACACCATACATATTTGATGGCCATCTGTCACGCTGCAAACTGCGTGGGACACACTAAGAAAACAAAAAATTCAGGGAAGGCCAGCGAAGAGCTGCACAAGGCGATTGCAGATGATCAGCAATATGAAGAAACAGACAGGGGATGGAATATAGATTATATTGGCAAAGGTCCCTGGGATGGGCAGCCAGGAAAGCGTCTGGAAAGGGGTCTTTCTGAGCTGAGGAGTGGGGAATGAGGAAGGGTCATCCAGGCAGAGGAAAGAAAGGCATGCCCTGTGGGGGAGGCACACGAGGATTCGATGTCTGGGGTGAGAAAGGAGATGCAGAGATGCTCTCCACAGAAAGGAGATGCTCTCCACAGAAAGGAGATGCTCCTCTCCACAGAAAGGAGATGCTCTACACAGAAAGGAGATGCTCTACACAGAAAGGAGGTGCTCTCCACAGAAAGGAGGTGCTCTCCACAGAAAGGAGATGCTCTACACAGAAAGGAGGTGCTCTCCACAGAAAGGAGATGCTCTCCACAGAAAGGAGATGCTCCTCTCCACAGAAAGGAGATGCTCTACACAGAAAGGAGATGCTCTACACAGAAAGGAGATGCTCTCCACAGAAAGGAGGTGCTCTCCACAGAAAGGAGATGCTCTACACAGAAAGGAGATGCTCTACACAGAAAGGAGATGCTCTCCACAGAAAGGAGATGCTCCTCTCCACAGAAAGGAGATGCTCCTCTCCACAGAAAGGAGATGCTCTCCACAGAAAGGAAATCCTCTACACAGATGTGCATCACTCCGCGTTTTGCTCCCTCATCCTTCAACAGCAGGATGTCACCTTCCTTTGACACAAGGCTTGATTAATATTGACTCCACTCCCCAGCGCAGAGACGCGACTACAATCTACGCTTGGTCAACTGATTCCCCGCCTCCTCCCACCCATCCCCAAGATCCCAACCATTCATGTTAAAAAGTTCTCATGTGCCTGGGCCAGCCAGGACACTCTATCGGGTCAAGAAACAAGACCTTGCCACCCAGAGCTGATAGCGAAGGAGTAGGCCACAAGGGGAAGAAGCTGTGTATGTGAATGCAGCCAGAGTCCAGGGTCACACAGAGCTGAGCTGTGTGACCCTTCATACAGAGACGAGGCGGTCCTTCCAGCTGCACCTGGATTTTTCATCTCTCCTGTTCCTTCCATTTCTCAACCAACCCAGAGACGGGATTCGCACGACTTAGAACTCAGACGTGCTGGTGGCTGGGTGACAAGAAAAGAACTAAAATGGATGCAGAGAAACGCATCAGAGAGCTAACTCAGGGGGCAGGAGAGAAGAGTGAGACCGCACCGAGCAGAACCCGGAGCTAGGAATCAAGCGCTTGCTCACCCATGTATGACCTCTTCCTCACGCACGTATGACCTCTTGGTCCACGTGGTCTCTGCACATCTCTAGCTGGCTTGGGATGCGAAGCTGACCAAACTTCGTGTCTGAGTCTTGGTTGGCCCAGATCCCTCTAAAGGCCTGAATTGTTCTCATTCTCAGCTCAGAAGTCCCTGTGTACAAGTGGCTTCCAGGATATAGATCCGTGAGTTTCCCCCACTTAATTCCATCCGTGTTTCATCTTTGTATGGCATGATCATAGACCACGGTGGTTTTTTTAGATCATGTGTACCTTTGTCCTCTCCCAGAGGAGAGGAAGACAGACTATGCCTCCTTTAGCCATTGGTGCAGACAGGTACTTGGCAAGCATATGCTAAGGAAATGCTTCCTCCACAAAGAACTGATCATAGCTTGAAGAAGTAAATGTGCTCACCCAATGAGCGGCATTACATGATGTGCACATATACTAAAACATCCCATAGAGCCAGGTGTGGGGCCATGCACCTATAATCCTAGCACTCGGGAGTCTGAGGCAGAAGGACCACAAGTTCAAGGGTAGCTTAGGCGACATATAGACATGGTGTCTCAAAAAACAAACAACAGCCAAGCATGGTGGTCCACGCCTGTAACCCCATCACTCAGGAGGTAGCGGATCAGGAGTTCAAGGTCATGCTCAGACACATGCTGAATTCAAGGACAGCCTGAGCTACATGAGCTCAGACAGAGGAAGGGAGGGAAGGAAACATCAGGTAGCAGTCCATAAATCTGCATCACTTGTATGTTTCCATTAAAACTTAAATAACTATAGTAGCACAGATAGAAACGGTCACTTCGAGGTAAAACTGCAAAAATGAAGACCCATAAGCAAGGGAGCAATGGCATCTGGAGTAGGGCATTTACAGTGTAATGAAAGTATAATTATCAAGTTTTGGGAAAGCGTCTGAAGCAATGTCAGTTGATAAACGACGAGCAAGCCATCGCATAGACCGTGCCAGCGTTTAGAAATGAATGGACGCCTGCAATCAAAACCTAAGTACACACGGATAACTGCAGGAAGGGAGGTGCGAGAGCAAACAAGGGATGTGGGAAGCAGGTAGATCCGGGGATTTCTTTTATAGTACTTTTCATTTCCTTACAAGTTGAGTTAACAGTAGGTAGGTAACATGGAGTTGGGCAACATGCTGACTCAGACTAGAGCACCCGCGTCTGTTGAGGCTGTGGGAGTCATGCCAACCTTTTGGAACACCTTGAAGGTCAAACGGGTTCCTCAACTTAGAAGCTCCCCAGTTCCGTAGCCGGGTGTGGCGCTGTGAGCGCCTTTAACCTCGTCCTCGCTCAAGAGGCTGGCACGGGAGAATCGTGAGTTCAAGGCCCGCCTGGGCTGCAGAATAAGGCCCTGTCTCAATACCCCCCCCAAAAATAACTAGTGTTACGGTCCTGTTTAGCGCACAATGAATAACAACTACAATAGAAACTAGCAAGCTCCCCTGTCTAAAGAAAGGAGAACAAAGGGCTGGAGAGGCTGAACGGTGGTTAAGAGGACTCTCCACTCTTCTGGAGGACCTGAGACCTGTTCCCCGCACCCACGCGAGGCAGCTCACAAAGTGTCTGCAGCACCTGCTCCAGGGGGCCCTTGGGCACCTGCACCCGCATCCGGGTACATACCTCTACATAATTAAAAGTGATAATAATGAACCCGGAGAGAGGAGAGAGGGAGGAACGCATATAGCTCCAGCACAGCCTATATAACCCCGGGGAAATACCTAAGTCTTCTCTTATCTTCTATTGTTGTGAACCAGGATCATGTATGGTCCAGGCTAGCCTTGAACTTACCACGAAGCTGGGGGCAACTTTGAACTTCTGATCTCTCCGCCTCCGTCTCCTGATCACAGATAGTGCTCCCAGTCTATGTGTGATTCACTCGAGGCGCCAAGGGCCTCATGCAAGACAGGTAAGCACTCTCCCGTCAAAAGCCCCACACCCAACTTGTGTCCTCTTCCGGGCCTTAGCTTTCCCCGTGTGCAGAAAGAGCTGACCATGGCATGGGTCTTCCAGAGAGCTCTTAGGTAGCTGCCTGGCCCAAGTGAGCCCTCCTAAGATCTCATCAGCGGCACAGTCGTCAGGCTAAGCAGAGAGAGACAGGGGAACAAAAGCTTCAGTCAAGCCTCGTATTTTTTCCACCCCTTGATCTGGTTGGTGCTGACTGTCCCTTTATTGTTCTTAACTGAGTGCAGGGGAAAAGGCCTTTTAATGGGCAAAGAAGGGAAGAAAGAATGAATCACTGGGTCCTTCAAGAGAGGGGACTTGAAAAAAAATTATTATTCCTATGCAACATCAAAGGGACACTTAATAGTTACAAAATGGTTTACAATCACTTGCTGGCTGTTCCTGGGGTGCTCTGTCAGAGAAGCTAAGTCTTGCTCTCTTCTGAAGGCCGCTGTGTGCTTGTGTCTCCAGATAGATGATAGGTCGGGTGCCGTCCTTGCTGTCAAAGAGAGGAATCAGCGACTGGAGGAGCAGCAGGACTGAGTATAAAAGTCAGACAGCAGGGAGTCAGCCCTCCCAATGTCACCTTCCATCCCCTCGCCCAGAACACACCCTGGACACCCTGCTTCTGATGAGGGGAACAGGGAACAGGTTTGTGGTGGAGCTGTGATTCACGCCCTTCGTTGGCTCTATAGTCCGATGTCCTGGCTCTATACATTCACTCCAGGCTCTCCATGAAACGAACCGAGCCTTTCCTAGCCTCCGCTCTCCGTACTCTCACCATTGGCGGACAACTAGACAATGAATGCTTGCAGTCCCTGCCCCCTCCAAATTAATACACTGACATCCTAACCTGGAAGATGACGATGGTGATGACTTACAGCGTCCTTATAAGTGAGCTTCGGAAAGCTGGCTCACCCCTTCCACTATGTGCGACCCAGCAACGTGACATCACCAAGTCGTCAGAAAGCAAGCTCTCAGAAGGCCCTCCATCTGGTCAGAGCTTTCGTCCTGGGCTTCCCAGACTCTACAACCATGAGAAACAACTTTCTCTTGTTTGTAGGCTTCCTAGTTTGTGGGATCTTGCTATAGGGCCCAAACAAGTGCTGTACCTACAAAAGGCAGCCAAGAGCACTCCGTAGTCTCTCGCCTGTGAGGGCGTGGTGAAGCATTACAGGGTTTACAGGCCTCACCGTGCTAGCCCCTCCGACCAGGGACTTCCTGCCACCAGACCTGTGAGACATAGATAACTGTTTTCTTAAGACACAATCTGTGGATTATTTATCATTTCAGCACACACTTAAGACTCTCTGCTCTGCCCCTTACCCTGATAAAATCCCAACTGTCCCCAGAATTTTACTCCGTGGAGGTACTAAAACCCCTATCTCTGGGCCCTACAACCCCTGCATGTTTAACTGTGGGGACACTTAAATACTGAATTTTTTCAGGTTCTGTCAATCTGTCAGTTGGAGTTGGCCCATGGGGACACATGTGTCATTAGTTTCCAAGTCCCTTACACCTTGCTCTGGGTCTCCTTCGCTAAACACATACTATGTTGGAGGGGAAAGAATACAGTATGCATTATGTGACTTAAACAACAGCAGTAAGCTGAGCACGGTGACGCAGGCCTGTCACTGAGACGGGAGAGTCACGAGGTCCAATGCCTGTCTGGGACACGGAGTACGATCAAAACCAGGCTGGGTAACTTAGGGAGACTATCTTAAAGTTTAAAGAGGAGAAAGAGGGCTAGGGTGTACAGCTCATAGCTTGCCCAGCATGTACAAAGCCCCGGGGTTGAGCCCCAGCACTGCAAAACTAAAGCCTTTAAAGCTGAGTGTGGCGGCCTGTGCCTTGCGATCTCAGCACTCGGGAGGTAGAGGCAGGAGAATCCAGAGTTTGTGGCTACACAGTGAGTTCAAGGCCAGTTTATGCTGCTTAGAGTCCTGTCTCAAGAAAGAAAGAAATCAGCAAATCCATTTTCTTTGTAAAAGGCTGCTGGGGGTTTTGGGGAAGTGCCTTGCCAGAGTGAGGACCTGAGTTTGAGACCCAGAACCCACATAAAAATGCCACCTTGTAATACCAGCACTGGGAGAAGGACTCAATGGCTAGCTGGTGTAGCTTAATTTGTAAGCCTCAGGACAAGAAGAGACCCTGCCTAAAAGGAAGTGGATAGCATTCCTAAGGGTGACACTGGTGGTTGTCCTCTGGCCTACACACACACACACACACACACACACACACACACACACACACACACACACGAGGAAGAGGGTGGGCTCCTCCTCAGGCCCACTGGGAAGACTTACTTCTAACATGCTTCCCCCAATTCCAATCACAAAGGGCTCTGTAAAGTCCAACAGTTCCATCACTGGAACCACATCCACTAGAATCAAGTCTCTTCCTCCTCAGAGCTAACGTTGGCCCTTTCCAGAATGTTCTTGAATAACCTCTCCGTCTTATGCAACTGAAAAGGCTCTGCCTGCCTGGAAAGTTTTGGAACGGAGTACTGGTGCAGCGAAGACTGAGTTTCAAGAACTAATATTTTATTTTACTTGTTTTTTCAAGACAGGGTTTCTTTGTGTAGTCCTGGCTGTCCTGAAACTATCTCTGTAGAACAGGCTGGCCTCAAACTCATAAATCCACTTGCCTCTGCCTCCTGAGTGCTGGGATTAAAGGTGTGCGCCACCACCTCCTGCCTGTTTCAAGGACTAGTAATTGTGTTTCTTTAGTGGGCTGTGTTGTTTGTTTTGTTTTGCTATTTTTGAGACAATGTCTCCTGCAACCCTGATGGGCCAACAACTCTCTGTTTACCTGCGGATAATCTTGAACACCCGATCTTCCTGCTTCCATCTCCCCGTGCTGGGATCATTGATGTGCATCACTACTTCATTTTATGTGACCACTGGAACCAAACTCCAAGGGTTTTGTATATGCTAGACTGATCTATATCTCCAACCCAACCAAACTCATTTTTCCAGGGAGGGATGGGGCGGTTCTTGAACTCACACAGACACACACCAAGAAGGAAAGCAGAGGCCATATTGGAGACTGGAAAACCTACACCCTTTACCCCCAAAGCTGGCTGGAACAATTCTCCCTCTTCTTCTTCTCCCCATCCCTGTCCCCACTTTCTTCATGTCTTTGGGAGTCTCCTCTAGTCTCAGAGAGAGAGAGAGAGAGGGAGGGAGGGAGGGAGGGAGGGAGGAGACAGAGAGAGAGGGAGGGAGGAAGGGAGAGGGGAGAGAGGGAGGGAGGGGGAGAGGAGAGAGAGGGAGGGAGTGAGAGGGAGAGGAGGGAGAGAGGGAGAGAGAGAGGGAGAGAGGAAGGGAGAGAGTAGAGAGGAGAGAGGGGGAGAGGAGAGAGAGGGAAGGAGGGAGGGAGAGAGAGAGAGAGAGGGGGAGAGAGAATCTGAGTGTTTGCTGTTTATGTGTTTCACCCGTGCCCAGCTACTGGGGCCTCTCAACCTACCTGGCACCTGAGCATACAGAACAAAGTCCCCACCGGGTCCATTCCTCCAGTCCCAAGTCTAACTTCTAGAAAACGGAGTCCGATTGGCTGAGCCCAACTTTACAAGCCACAGTCGCAATCAGTGGTCTCCAGCTTACCTGGGAATCAGCTCTTCTGGGGCCCAAGGTCAATCTCTGGTCTCCAGAGCTGTTGCCAAGAAATGCCAGGTACAGGTTAAGTCATGTCTGCTCAGATGCAGGAGGCGAGGATGGCTAAGGCCAACAGAGCTAACAGCATTGCCCAGGAATGAAAAATAAACAAACCCCTGTTTCTGCCTCAGTTCCCCATCCTAGCAACACCTCATCTGGTACTCTTGCTGCACAACGGGGAACCTAAGGAACTCTCACGATGTTAGGCTGCGGTCGTCACTAGACAGGACCTGGACCTGGACACGGGAGTCACCTTTGTAGCAGGGAGCCTGGTGCCGGGTGCAGATGAGATCAAAAGCCAGCCTGGGCACCATGCACAACCAAGTGAATCATCTCCTAAATAAAATGATGAGTTGTGCTGTGTCTGCTCGAGATAAAGCAAATGTCAAGATGGGTGGGGGTTAAGAGATGGGGAGTCTTGGCATGGCGTGGTGGTGTGCCCCCGTAACCACAGCGCTTTTGAGGTAGAAACAGGAGGATCAGAAGTTCCAGTTTAGTTCCAGCCAGCTAGCAAGTTTGAGACCAGCCTCAGCTACATGAGACCCCACTTCAAAAAAGTAAAAAGCATAGGGGGATTCTATAAAGACAAGGTAAAAGGAAAAAAAGCATTCCAGAGGAAGAGAGGAGGAAGTGTTTGATGGGTTGGGATGTTTCTCGGTTGACAGAGAGCACCTGCCTAGCATGTACAAGGTCCTGGGTCCAGTCACCATCACTGTGTAAAACAAGGCATGGTGGCATACACCTGCCTTCCCAGCACTCTTGCGGTAGGCAGAAGGATCAGAAGTTCAAAGTCATAGACCAGAGAGATGGCTCAGTGGGTAAAGTTGCTACCAAGCCTGACAGCCTAAGTTGGATCCTGCAAACCCACACAGTGGAAGGAAAAACCGACTCTCAAAACCCTGTCTCTGTCTCTGTCTCTGTTTCTCTCTCTCTCTGTCACTCTGTCTCTCTCTGTCTCTCTCTCTGTCTCTGTCTCTCTGTGTCTCTATCTCTGTCTCTGTCTCTCTGTCTCTGTCTCTGTCTCTCTCTGTCTCTCTCTGTCTCTCTGTCTCTGTCTCTCTGTCTCTCTGTCTCTCTCTCTCTGTGTCTCTGTCTCTGTCTCTGTTTCTCTCTCTCTGTCTCTGTCTCTCTCTGTCTGTCTCTGTCTCTCTGTCTCTGTCTCTCTGTCTCTCTGTCTCTCTCTCTCTGTCTCTCTGTGTCTCTCTGTCTCTGTCTCTCTCTCTGTCTCTCTCTCTCTCTCTCTCTCTCTCACACACACACAGACTAAAGAAGAAATGATAAAATTCAAGGTCCTCATCATCTGCCAAGCAAATTCAAGATGAGCCTCTGGGATAGTGCCATGGCAGTGCCGTCAGCTTCCAGATGCATCTTTTTTTTTTTTTTTTGATTCTGCAATACAGCAGGTGAGACAATACCTTTCAGATTGAAGTCGCCATCCATGGCTGTAAAGTGAAGCTAGTGGCAGCAGCTTTGCTGCCTGGCTGAAAAAAAAACCAACGATGATATAGGAAGTGTTCCCTGCAGAGTACCCGGGATGAGTCGGAGGGAACAGGTCAAAAGCGCCCATGCCCTCTGGGTTAAAGGGACTCTTTCAGAACTAGCCAGACCACTCCAGATGAACCCTTGTGGCAAAACTCAGTGATCAGGGGACTTTGGCAGGTACACCCTGGCTTCATTCAAGTGTCCTCTAACTTAGGGCCTAGAGCCCGAGGCAGCAGGATTGTCTGCGTGCTGCTGACCAGCGGCGGGAGACCTGCACAGGCCAATAACAAAGTTATGATGTTAATCATTACAGCGCTGTGTCTGTTTCTGTCTGGGAACAAGGCATGGTGATCTTTGTTCCCCTTCTATAAAGATGAAAGGTGAGGTGCTCCCGAAAGTGATGAGCCCCAGCAGGGAGAACGGTGGCGTGCCCACCCTGCCACCTGGCTGGAGAGACTTCAACTCCCAGCTCCCCACACTTTCCTTGGCTTCCTTGGGGTGGGGGAGGGTAGGGATGAAGCCTGAGTCTCTGCAGGTAGAAGACCCGGAGGCAAATTTGCTCCTCCTGGGAAGCCGGCTGTCTTACAGTTCCTATTGCAGTGATGAAACACCACGACCCACAGCAACATGGGGAGGACAGGGTTTATTCAGCTTGCACTTTCCGCGTCACAGTCCGTCCTGAAGAATGTCAGGGCAGGAACTCAAACAGGGCAGGAACCTGGAGGCAGGAGCAGAAGCAGAGGCCACAGAGGGTGCTGCTTTCTGACGGGCTCTTCCTGGCTTGCTCAGCCTGCTCTCTTACAGGACCCAGGACCAAGCACCATGTGAGGATAGTTCTACCCACAGTGAGCCCGGCCTTCCCCATCAATCACTAATGAAGAAAATGCCCTGCGGCTTGCCCACAGCCCTGTCTTATGGAGGTGTTCTCTCAGTCTAGGTTTCCCTCCCCTGCAACCACCCCAGCTTGTGTCAAGTTGACAAAAAAAAAAAAAAACTAGCCAGCACACCAGGCCAACTCATTCAAAGGAGAGTTTCATGCAGCTGACTGACAAGAGAGTTAAAAGGCATTATAAAGATACATATGACCAAGAGGTATAAATGTGTGTCCCCGTAAATAAAAAAATCCCGAACATGATGTTCCTGTGACATTATTCACAAGAACCAAAATGTGGATGGAAACAGGCCAAGAAGATGGGTCCCACATAAAAAGGTTAATGAGCTGAGTGTGACACCTGGAAGTCACCATAAAAAGCTGGGTTCGACGGCATGCATTCTAATCCCAGCACTCCCACAGTGAACTGGGAAGAAATCAGCTAGAAGCTCACGGCCCAGGTCTCCTGGAGCACATGGCCCAGTGGTGGACAGCAGGGGACTCCCACCTCGACTAGGGAAGAGAGAGCAGACTCCAGAAGTTTCTTCTGGCCTTCGTGCACACATACATACAAGTACGCCTAAATAAACACAGTTCTTGGTTTTTTTTTTTTTTTTTTTTCTTCAGCGTGGAAGCAGTTCTAATTCCAGCTACTTTCAGGGACGAGGCAAAAGAATCAGAAGTTCAAAGCCGGGCTGAGCCCAAGGCCAGCCTAGGCAGCTTAGGGAGACTTTGTATTAAAATGTAAAGCTAGGGGACTGGGGTGCCGCTAAGCGGCTGGTGTGAGGCCCTAGATTCTGTGCCTGGTACTAAAACAAAGAGAAGAGGGGAGGGAGGAAGAGAGGGAGGGGCGGGAACACCTCAAATGCCCCAAATGCCTATCTATTAATGGACATAGGACACGGCTTATCCTTGCCAAATGCCCAGGTTAGGCAAATACGCAGAAACAGATGGCAGGTGAGGGTGCCCAGGAGTGTGTGTGGGGGGGGGGGGTAGGAACCAATTGCTAATGGTTGTCAGAGTGACAATAATGTGCAGGTCTGTGACTGTGCTAAAAGCCTAGCCTGGCACTTTAAGCAAACGAACTGTATGGTGTGGAAACAGCGTCTCCAGCAAAGCTGTTTGAACAGATCGTGCCTAGAGTCGGGGTCCAAATCACAGCTCCCCCACCTTTTTGGCAAAATCCTAAGCACTGCCGGTTGTTCCTGGTGGCAGCTCCACAGTCTTGGGCGGGGCAGACTAACACCTTGCCCTTGGGACCTGTGTGTTTTCCTAAGGAACTCTGCACGGTTGAAATAAATAAGCAAATGCAAGCAAATGGAGAGGTTCTGAAGCGAACACAGAGCCTAAAGGGAGAATCCTTGAGAATGTAGAAGCATGCTCAGGATGGGAGCCACTGTGCAAAGGGCATGGGCCAGGAAGACCTTGGTTTGCTAAAGGCACAGAAATAAGACCGGGAGGGTTGGAGCACTTCTTTGTGAGTTGCCCTGAACAAAGTCCTGCGAGTCCTCTGAATCCTCTCACGGGGGAGACAGTTTCAACCATTCATTAATTCCTAGCACCCCATTCTGTGCCGGATATGGACGCCCAACTACGACTTCTCTTTCCACCATCTTCATCCCCTCCTGCCAGGCAGATGAAGTCTGCGCCTCTAGCATGGGATGCACACTGCACAAAGGGACCAAAGATGTGCACACGGTTCTCCAATCAACAGTTGTGAGCCAGGAAGATCCATGGCTCTGGGTGCCGCACGGCACTGGCCACCGAACTCACCTGTGATGGCTTAGGAGCTGTCTCCCTTGAAGAAATGGGACTTGCCCAGTCGTTCCCAGGTCTGCAGTGGCCAGTGTGTCCAGAAGGGCTTACCACTGCGGTGGCCAGTCTCCAAGGACTGCCTCTCAGCCGGCACCAGGCTTATCTGCCAACTGGCCTGAGTCATATAGCTCTGTTAGAGCAAATGTGATACCACTGTGTATTTTGTTGTTAATTTCAAGGTTCTGTTTGTATGCGTGTGAGAGAAAGGGAGAGAGTGTGAGTGTGCGTGTGTGTGCACATGTCAGTGTGTGTGTGTGTGTGTGTGTGTGTGCTTGAGACAGGGTCTTGTGTAGCCCAGGCTAGCCTTACACTGTATAGCTAAGGATGACTTTGAATTCCTGTTCCTCCAGATGTGATCCCCCCCCACCTGCCTGACTCCAGATGTGGTTTATAAAGGCAGAAGCTTGGGACGGAAGCCCGTCTGGATACCGGTTTGCCTCTTTTCTGCGTGAGCACCAGAAGTATGGGACAGCGTCTCTGGTCTTTTTTCCTCTGACGGCATAAGGCTTCTGCTGTTGTTTCCAGAGCATCACCTGTGGAAGTCTGCCTCTGGTCTTTTCTTAAAGATGGACTTGTCGACAGAGAGGAGAGACTTATTTCCGTGTAACGCATGAGTGCTGTGTGTGTGTGTGCACCACATGCTTGCTTGGCACCCAGGGAGGCCAGAAGACAGCACCTGAGGCAGAAGGCAACTGGGTCTCACAGACTTTCAGAAGCACCATGAACCGCAGATTGGCAATGCATGAGGGTTCACCCTGTGTCTCTGGCCACCCGAGAGCTAGGTCGCCCCACGGGTCAGGGGGAGGCTAGAGGTGGTGGCTTGGAGACACACTTGCCCCCCCACTCACCTCCTCTACCTCCCCTGCTTCCCCACCTGTCACATGACAAGCAGCCTCTGTTTCACCAGGGGTCATCGGGGCTGATGTTAGGGTCTAGTACAAGGGCTGGTGCATATTTCTATTTAAAAAATAGTGATCAGAGATCTCGTTTGCTGTACGTTCTTGCTATTGTTTCGTGGTTTGGGGGACTTTCCGTCTTTGAGACACGGTCTCACTATTATTGTTCAGATTGGCCTTGAAGTCCTAGGGTCAGTCCTTGAGGTCCCTGAGCAGCTGGGATGACCACCATGTCCAGCACTGTGGTAAATCTTACATGTCTTATGTTATTCTCATGGAATCTCCCTGGCCACCCTCATTTTACAGTTGACGGAAGGGAGACCAAAACAGCCGTGAGGTTGCAAGTTGAAGGGGGAGGTGGCTGTCGGTTTATCTGTCAGGACCTGAGCCTGCAGTGAGGACTCAGAGCCTCATGAGATTGGCTTCATTGTCCAGAACCTTCCTCAGCCCTTCCCAGGAGATCACACACTGACTCAGCACAAGTCCATGTCTAGGTGGCCATGCCCGATGACAGGGACAGTGTGGAGGGTGACTAAGGCCACTCCATAGCTCTAGAGACCCCAGCACCGTGTCCACTGAGGTGACAACCCCCCCCCCCACCAGTAGACACAGCCTGTAGTTTCCCTGTGTGCTGGAAACGAAGACAAGCAATGAGGTGAGTCCTCCCAGGTTTTACCACCAGGCAGCCAGAGTTAAGCCCACTTCAGCCCTAGGCCTAGTTCCAGAGAAATAGTGGCTGGATAATAAGTTATCTCGCCAGGCAGCCCTGTGTCTACACAGGAAAACCAAGGTAGATAAATGCAGGAATTCACAGCCCTATAAAAAATGAATTAAGATAAAACACATACCCTTACTACTTAATGACGAGTGAGCTTTACGGACAGCACTGCATGACAATGACTCAGAGGACACAATTATCTTATCGTGAGTTAAAGGCAATCAATTTTCATTTCTAAGCAAATACTATATTTCCTCGATCCTAACACACCTAGGAGCTTTTGGGGGGTGGGGCGGGGGGAGTGTTATTTTTGTTTGTTCCACATTTGGCTCTTTCTGAAGTCTGGGCACAACTTACCACAGTTAAGTATATTCACTGGGGGAAAAAATACCTCTTTCCCAGCCCAAGCCCCATCCCCAAACCCTGGTCCCTCATGTGAAGAACAGCATGGTTAACTGAGCCGGGTCTGGGGAGCTGGGGCACGCTGCCTCTCCTGCAGTCCAGTTCTGGGCTCCAGGCATGAGCACAGCTCACTTCGGGGCCTCTTGTCCATGCTCCCAGATCTCTGCCCAGAAGTCCTTGGCTTGTCAAGTGAGAAGAGACATACAATTCTGCCTTCCTGGAGGCAACAAGGCTATAGGTACTAGACAGGTCACATCACCTCTCTCCTAAGCCCAAAGTCCCTGTGCTTCATGATATAACACCCACAATTCTCAGGATAAATACTAACCTCCCTGCAGGCTTTACACGAGATGTGGGGCTTACGACCATCGTGTACTGGAGACTTCTCTCTCTCTCTCTCTCTGTTTCTCTCTCTCTGTTTCTCTCTCTCTGTTTCTCTCTCTCTCTCTCTCTCTCTCTCTCTCTCTCTCTCTCTCTCTCTCTCTTTCTTTCTCTCTCTCCTACAGTTGTGAAAGTAGGGACAAAATGGGACAGGGACCACATGGGTTGGCTTTCTACACTTGAGAGGCTGAGGCAGGGGGAAGCATTCGTGGTCCAAAATCAGGCTGGTCTACAGAGTGAGAAATTATTTTTTTTAAATAAATAAATAAATAATGAAAAGCGGGACTAAGATGTAGCTCAGTTGGTAGCATGCTTGCCTAGTGTATGTGAATCCCTGCGTTCCTTCCCCGTACCCCATAAACTAGGCGTGGTGGTGCCTACCTATAATTCCAGCACTTAGGAAGTGAAGGAGTGAACATTGGAAAACCAAGGCCAAGGCCATCCTAGGCTGTGCAATGAGTCTGAGTCAGCCTGGGATACATAATACCTTGCCTTAAAAGAAAAGAAAAGAAAAGAAAAAGATCAGAAAGAAAGGAGTCAAAGAATCCCCCAGTCCAGGGCCAATCCACCCAGAGTGAGAAGTCCTAGGTTCAGGCCTTGTCCCTCACTCTTCCTCTGCGTGTGTAACAGACTAAACCCTGTCTATCTCTGCTAGCACCGGCAGACATTACAGCAACCCTCCCTCAAAGCTCTTCTGTGTCTCAGAAGCCGAGGGTTCCTTTGGTAGAACCCTCAAACGGACAGTTACAACTTTGGTTTCTCGACCAGACATTGCTCTGTCCCCACCCTCAGGAGCAGAGCTAGAAAATGGGACCAGGTCCTCAGGCTGAATGTGTGTGGGGTGTCGGGGGATGGTGGGAGATAAGCTGCCTATAAGGTCTTGAGGATGAGCTTCTCGGAGGCACATAGCCAGCCAGCAAGGGAAGTGGCCGTGAAGAACCAATCCCAAGGAGCACAGCCAACCTGCAGGGCAGAACCTGGCCCTGAACCAGCTGGATTCACCATCCTGGTTCTGAACCAGACAGCTGGATTCACCATCCTGGTTCTGAACCAGACAGCTGGATTCACCATCCTGGTTCTGTCACTCACAAGCTATCTGAACCCTGGTCGTGACTTATTTGCCCGTAAAACGGGAGCACTAAACAGTGTTTGACACTCAGGGTCCAAAAATGCTTGGGACAATGCCCGGCACCATAATTCTATGTATGGTCTTGCTCACTACTGCCCAGAGATTTAAGTACGTTATTATCTCAAAGAGTCTTCACAAGCCTGGGAAGAAACAGTTATTGCACAGATGAAACACCTGAGGCCCGAGTCTCACTGCTGGGCTGCAGCAGGCCTGGGGTTTACGGGCTCCTTGTCATTACTGAGGGTCACACTGTGCCGTAGCAGGCTTCTTCCCAGAGAGTCTGAATAGAGGTGGCCGTGAAGATGTAGTGGAGAAAAGAACTCCGCGGGGAACAGCTCAAAGCGGGAGAGGCGGCAGTGGGACCTGCTGGGGGTGGGGGGTGGGAGGCGTGGGGGGGGGTGTTTTCATCTTGAGCCGTCACAAGGCCTCATCCTAAGAAGGACAGCAGCTGTAGGCTAGGGACGGGCAAAGACATCCAAGTCTTCCCCAGCAATGCCACAGTTCTGGACCTCTCCTTGCTGCAGACCAGAGGCTGGGTTGGCACTGTCGAGATGGGACAGAGAAGAGCGGAGGCGCAGACCCAGCCAGGGTGCAGCCTACTGCCAGCTCCAGGCTTGACTGCCCGGGACACCCCGTCATTCCCAGGCTCCTGGGCTTCCAAATATCTCACCATGACGGAGCAAATGGGGAAGCTGGCCTAGAGAGGACAGGGCCACCGTCCGTCCTGACAGTTGGTAGAGCATGGCTAGCATGTGGGCCAGCCATTTCCTCATCGCAGGGCTCAGCAATAGCAGCCCAGGCAGAAACCAGATTCCACAATGGAGGGAATGGGGTCTCCTCCCCTTGAAGAAGCTCCTCTCCTGGGACTTACTGCCCATTCCCACGCTCAACAAGTATGAAGCAGGGAAGGGCTACCTGAGGCCGGCCACAGGGGCCTGCATTCGGCCACAGAAGACTACAAGGTCATTTGAAACCGGAAAACCTTGTAAGCAAGATCACAATGTGAGGCTCCCAACACCTAATCCCTGGTCTCTGGGGCACATGCACACAAGGCCCCAGAGTTCTGCTTTGGATCAATCCCAAGCAATCTTCACTGTTCTGGAAGCTTCCTTTGATTAATCATACTGAGATATGGAACGGCACTCTGTGTGTGTGTGTGTGTGTGTGTGTGTGTGTGTGTGTGTGTGTGTGTGAAAATGAGCCGTGCTGCCCCTCAGGAAGGGGAGGTAAAGGTATTTGTCAAACAGATAAAAACGTTGGGGGGGAGGCACCATCGGAGGCCCTGTTGTCTTATGGGGGCGTAGCAGGAGCACCCCAGGTAAACAGGGATCTTCCCTGAGATGACACTGAGAGCCACAGCCCTTTCCTGGTCCTCAAGAGGTTTGTGAAAGCAGTTCCTCAGTGTGCTCTGTCACTCTCTCTGCAGCACACAAGGACCCACTTCAGTGAGCGTCTCCGGGGCTCGAGTGTCTCTCCTTCCAGTCGCTGATTTTCTGATCCCCCGAAGAGGGACCACACCTATATCACCACTTGACGCCCGGCCTGTGGGGACCCTCGAGTCAGGAAGGTGCTGCTCAGTGGAAACAT